CCTTCCAGTCCTCGGCGCTGATGTATGGTGTCTGGCTGCTGCCCGCCACCTCACCCTGCAGTCACAGGGTCAGCCCTTCATCGCGGAGGCACCCGCGGGTCACACCCGGCTAATTGCTGCCCGCTGCACGGCGCCGGGCCTGAAAAGAAGCCCATCTTTCACTCATATTTAAAACGCAGGGGTCAGTAAAAACCACAGCTTCAGGAACACGGCACGGACAAAGCAGGCACCGGCTCCCCTTATAGTGGCTGGGGTTTAATTCCTTTTCCATCCGTATGTACTGGTATCAGAGGCCTGTGGTCATCATTACACACATTACACACATTACACACCAAAGTGACGACAAAAGGCTCGACAAACCAAATCTCCATCATGACGTTTGCTTAATTATCCAAATTACCTGTAATCTTTTCAGGAACAGCATTACTCATGTTGAAGACGTCATTGTTATTATTATTCTCATCGCTATTTTTCCTATCAGTCACTTTAGAAAGTAAGATTTGATATGACCTATCATATGTTTCGAGTCTTAATCAGCACTGTTTCACACATCTGCAGGACGTCTGTGTTCATGTCTGACTGCTCAAAATTGATGTTATTTGGAAGCAGAACTGGAGAAAACATGATTATCATTGATAACGTTGTTATTATGAGTTGCTATATATAATTAAAAAAGATTACGTCTGATTGGTCCGTACGTGCATTGATCAGCACGGGGTTTGAACCTGTGAAATGACCATGAAAGTCCCGGTATTTTAGAGTCTGTTGGACCCACCAGCACAGCTGTAGGCAGTTATGTCTAATACAGGGTGATCCATTCTCCATTAAAATATTTTCTAATTCAAGGAAAGCAGGAGCCTTCACAGGCTTCATAGACATACGTGATAATCAGAGGAGTCGACCCCACATCAGCGTGGGCCCACACACAGCCGGCAGCCCAATAACCCGAATCCTCCAAACAGAGACAGACACAGAGCAACTTTTCCCCAGACTGTCCCACTTCCAGCACATGTGCCGTCCAGGACTGGGCTCAGTAGCAGCCTCCACTTCGGGGGACTGGGTGACATCTCCCTACAGGTCCAATTTTACTTCATCAGGCCCCTAAAAGTCCTTCTGACTCCAGTCACAGATCCGACATCAACCATCTCAGGAATCAGGAGTATTTGTTTATGCCTCCACTTGATGGGGGCCTGTGCATTAGGGAGACTGCCACACAACCTCTCCTCCCCATTGACATCGTGATAAGTGGAAAATTGAGCCTGGAAATGGAGCTGGCAAAGGTTTATTGAGTCTCTCCACCCTGCATAATTGCAGCCTCGAAGCAGCCTGTAATTAATCTTTGAGAAAACTTGTCAAATTATTAACAGGGCCCTTAAGTGATGGCTGAGAAAGGAGGGCACTGTTCGGAGCCCAGGGAGAAGGAGCCCGAGCTTCGGAGGGGCTGTTTACTGTGAAAATATGAAGAGGTCGCTCTCCAGGAGTTCCAGGCCTCCACATGTCAAGGCTCTCTACACATGGAGGAGTTAAAGGGCTCTCCGGAAACCAGAGAACTCACTCCAAAAACGGAGAATGTCATCAAGTATAAAGTGAGCTTCTCAGCAGACACTGAATGGAAGATTGAACTGTGTGCTTTTAGAGGACCTTCGTATTCAGAATCAAGTACATAGACGGCCCCCTGCCGGCCTCCACAGAGCACAGACAGCCTGGTTCTGTCCAGCTGGCCACCAGAGAGCATCATCTGCTCACCTTTGTGTCCCTACTAGCCTCTTTTTTTAATTTCCACTTAGATGTGGAAGAAGTGGATTTATTTACTGTATTTACTGTTTTACAAACAGATTCATTCTGCAGGCAGCTGTGCATTTCATGTAAATTCAGCAACATTTGCTCCACCAGCTGTGCTTGCTCAGCATGTTCTGGACCAAAATAACCCGAGTTATGAGGAGAAACTTTGGTCGGTTGGTCAAATGTCCTGAAAAATGAACAGTGGGTGCTGATATGAACTCTTTGCAAAAACGGTTTCGCAAATAAAGTCCACAAAATCCAAGAAAGTTAAGGATGAAGTTAAAGCTAAGCCTTTTTAATGGATTAGTCCAGTAAAATGGGAGCTCAGAGGCTTCCTTGTGTGCCAAACCGTTTAAAGGATGCATCATGACAGGTTGGAGCTGATGGGCTTTAGCTGGATCCTCTCGTCTGGGCACGTAAAGATCTGCAGCTTACAGCGCTTAGGCAGCTCCTTCTGCAGCTGTTGGCTGCTCGGCGCACAGCTGGAAGCTGGCAGAAACACCTGAAGTCTGCAGGGAGCAGCTCCAGAGCTCAGGCCTGGAGCCCGGCCCTGTCTGAGCAGCCGGTCAGGCCGCTGACCGTCTGCTGACTACAGTAATCGCCCGTAACTGAACGCTTGATGGCATGTTTTGTTAAGAGATAATAAACTAACTCCCACTTTAAGATGAGACGCAAACCAAGTGAGGCCTGAGGATGTTCCTACCAGTGTTAGCCGGGTTAGCTCTGCATTAAAGCTGAATGTTGGTCTTCAGTACTGACCTGGAGTCGGTCTCTGGTCTGCTGGAACCAGCCCGGGCCCTCAGGAGAAAACGGTTTCCAGCCAAATCACTGGAGAAAGATGTAGATGAGTTCAAATGGCATTTATATGGAAATGTGACACATTCGTTCCACCATCAAATAACTGAACATTATCGAAGTTTCTCCTATTTTCAGCTCTTACCTGTTACTTACTGGTTGTTTGCTCATTTGAAATGTGCTATCTGAGCTTCCCCACTGAGGGAAACACAGCTCTGGTAAAGAGAATGACTCAATTAAGCAGCCAAATTTTCTCAGAAATCCTGATTACTCAGGATCACTGTATGTACCCCAAAGGAATCCTTAAAACACAGATTCATAGCCTGAGTGTTCGTTCTGTGTGAGTTAGACTAAACACTGTCTTCAGAATCAGTTTAGGCCAAAACAGGGACGCGGCGTGGTGAGTTCAGGTTGTTGTCTGCTGGAGGATCAGCGTTTGGATGCAGCCCTCTGCCCACGTCCACACAAACATCCTCCAGTCTTCCACAACAGCTCCGGCTCTCAAAGACAATGATGCCAGCTGGGGAGGAAACGGGCAGGAAGCAGGCAGAGACGCAGGCCAGTGGCCGATGGAGGCCGCTGACTGGACCGCCAGCCGGGGGGGGGGACGTGCACAGAGAAGTCTGTATAAATTATAATCCCCTCAGTTTGACACGTCTTTGGTTTTGTTTAACTTGTAGTTAGAAATATGCATAAACAGCTCATAAATGTAATGTTTCAGACCACAAATGTGTCAACTTCATGAACATTGTAGATAGGAAACATTCCCCCCCCTCACTGCTTTGTCACACTGGTTGGTGGGTATCACTGTGAAGCAGATATGAGCCTCTCATTTTCAGAATGAGTCTGAAAATACTCCGTTTGTAACGGGGATTTGCACGTCCAGAGGGAGCGAGAGGCCAGAGCTGCGTTTCCCGGGACTCCCATCAGACCTGCTGCTGACCAGGAAGTGGGCCTGGTCTGTCCTGAGGCCGGAGTCTGGATCTTTTACACAACAGTGGAACTCCCAGCAGGGCTTACCTGGAGCCTCGTCTCCACCTGGCTGATGGGAATGAGAGCAGACTGCGCCCCCCTGTGGCTCAAAGAAGAAACAGCACCTGGAAAACAGTTTCTACCTCTTAACAAATACCATTAGTCACAAAACAGAAGAGGAGGAGTGTGCTAGCATTTCCAGAAAATGTTGCTCATTTCTTATGGTTTTCAGGCACTTGACTAATTTTAGGTGCTGCTCACATATCAGGGTCCTTCAGAGGGTAAAACCTGATCCCTCACAGACACCCTGAAGGTTCCCTGGGAGCTTAGACTAAGTGGCTGCTGGGATCCTGAGGCTCGGCGAAAAAAGTTTCTCACTGATATTGAACAGTTTTAGTATTTTTTAATTATTTATGGACTATAACACAGAAAGTTTTTTGTATGACTGATGTTGCCTTGCCTGTGATAAAACAATAATAAAGACAATCATCCAGATTCTGTGGCTGACACTGGTCCTACAGGGATCCTGCAGCCCTCCCAAAGCAGCCCAAGAAGCACCGGCTCAGATCTGTGAAGCACATCCGACCACCAGCAGCCAGTCTATAAGCAGCCAGGTCACTCCTCCATTCAAAGTTCAATAAAAGCATTAGAGGGAAATGGGTCACAAATCTCCATCGGACCATGGCTGACTTTTACACAGACATAAAAATAAGATATCCACACATCAGTGAAGCTGTCACATAAAGAGATGGAGGATGAATGCGGTAGATCATGTCACAAAGAGGGTTTTTTACCTGAGAGGACACCGGCCGCTGGCAGCACAAATGATGGAACGAGCTGAAACGAAGCCAAAGGGGATCTGTCTAGAAATCACACACATCAGGTTTTAGGGACATAAGGGAACTTGGAGCAGGCTGATCAGACCAGATTACCTGAGTTTGGCTCCATCTGGTGGTGAAAAAAAGATGCACACATTCATGTCTGTATAGGGAAACCTACAAACTAACATAGGGTAGAAACACTTTAGGAAACCGTTATTCTATAAAGGACCAAATCCAACTTCCCCTTTAGAGAAGTTCACACAAAAAATCTGCAAAATGGTCTAAAACAGCCTCATCTCTGATGTAAGAATTACGGTTAATTCAGAGCTGTTTGAGATAAAAAAAAGAGCTGACACATCTAATGAGACACTGACGTGATAAACCCAAACACTAAGGCGGGGGTTAATAACTACCCAGAGTGCAGAGGGGTAGGGCTCAGTCTGACTGGAGGCTGTAAATCTGTGCGTCAGCCTCCAGGTGGACGAGAGGCTTCTCCGGCCAGAGGGTGAAAATCTAAAAAGCAGTCAACAACAAACATGGACTTTGGGGCCAGAGGCCTCCAGTCAGCAGAGGAAAGGTTTTTGGTCAAAAAACGTTGAGTCTCAGCCATTACAAAAGTCACCATAAAATGTCTGTGGAAGGCTTTTGAACTTTATTGGCATATTTGAAAGATTTGTCATTTTAATTCCAGTTACAATAAAATGCATACCAGCTGTTTTAAATGTTCTGAGAAGGATAAAAACGAAAGGTTTAGCTGTCGTCTCCATTTTCCCTGCTCACTTATACACAAAGACCAAGATGTATTTGTAGTAGCTTCATCCTAACATTTCCCCGCAGGGGGGGGGGCTAAATCATGCAGCGGAGCTGGAACTGACTTGATATTGCTGAGATGGGTTTTGGAGGTTTTTAAAAAAGGGTTTGGCAACACTCAAGCTGTCACAGTTTAGGTTAAAAGCAATCAAACAGAACACACGAACAACATTATTATTTTGAGAAACAAAAGTGCAAAAGGCAGATTATCCATTTGGGATGATTAAGAATTCCAGTTCAAAACAACTTTGATGGCTAAGACAACTTATCTTTTTCTACCCCCACATCAAGTTCAGAAGATTCACAAATCAAACTGTACACAAGTTCTTCAAAGTGCAAATATCATCAATTGGCATAAGCTTGTATATACATTTAATTTTCTAATGAATCAGAGTTCTTTTTCTTTTTTCCCGTCTTTCTTTGTCCACCCGGCCTCTGCCTTTATTCAACTAGTTTGTGGACTTCTCAGGCTCCATTCACTCTGGACAGAATCCCGACTTCATCGCCTTCACGCTCACCAGAAACCGCAACACCAAAACAGATGTTCTCCTAATAAAACCAATAATCATCATAATAAGGAGCCATGTCGTTAGACAGTCAGGGGAAAAGGGGAGAAAGAAAAGCTGGAATCCCAGAGAGAGCCGTGGGCTGGGCTGGTGGAGTCATGCACAACATGCGGAAGGTGTCATCTTTTACTTTTGTTTTTCCCTCCTGCCAGGTTAAAATAATGTAGGAGGGTTTTTTCTCTAAACAGCCGATCCACTCTAAACCCACCGCGCCATGACTGGACCTCAGTCCGTGGGATCCACTTCCATTTCATAATCACAGACCTTTGATCCACAGTAACTGCTGTTACAGATAAGTCAATTGCATAAGACTTGTTGTCCTTGTTCACCACTGCACATTCGTCCTGTTTGTGGACTCCCTCCTCAGATCCCCTCATGGGGGCGGCCTGCAAACGCTCTGACACATCTGGCTATTTGGGAGTTAGCAGAAGTTTAAATGGACTTGGTCAATGCCGCTTTTTGTTTTTTTCTTTGATTCAAGCAGTGAAAGGAAGTTTAAAAAGGACAAAGATCTGAAGGAAGAGCAGAGCCAGCAAACATGTGGAACCTCTGACCTTTTCTCTCCGTTTCAGTTGATGTTTCTTTAAGAGAAACCGGTTTCCGTGCCGTCAGGCGGGCGGACAGAGCCGGGCTGATGGCTGCGTTAGGTCGGGGGCTGAGATTTAACCTGAGCTGCATCAGACTGGTTCTGTCTGCCGGCTGTAGGAACGGCTGAACACGACGGGCTCTGAGTGGGTAAAGTACCATGTTTAGGGGAATCTGAGGTCTCTTATGGAGCCTGAGGCTGCTACCGTTTACTCAGGCCCAGTAAAACCCAAACTCACTCAAATGGGTTCTCTACGGTTTGGTTTGGTTTGGTTGTGCTTTTGGGGTGAATCAGCCCTTCCTCTGGGCCCGGCGACCACTGGCTGTGAATCAAAGGAAAATGGACAGCGGGCAGGAACTGGGGAGGGTTTTGGCTTCAGAACGAGTGGTGCTTTGTAATTTATGACACTGTGGACACTTTCTCCTCACTTCTTTCCTTTATTCCTTCCCCGTCTCCTCTCTTCACTGTCAGGGCTCCTCAGCCAGGTCATTCGAGGGAGAGGGAAGGAAATTCACATTGGAAAGGAACGCCGATGGCCTGGGAACCTGCACACAGACACACAAAACCGTTAGACCAAGGCCGCCCGCTCAGCTCCATCTCCGTCTGGATTTCCCTCTGAGCTCACCTTTAGTAGAGGAAGAAGAGGCGTGTTCTGTGGGAGGAGGCCATGTTCTCGGACATGTTGCGGACTTTCAGGTAGTTCACGAAGCCCCTGAAGAACAGCAGAAGGCCTGCAGAAGGAGAATCACGTACTGTCACACTCTTTCTCCTTTCAACGGTCACCGGCTCAGAGAACACAGCCTCCAGACTCACCGAGCAACAGGAAGATCCACCACAGCCAGTACTGGCCGTTGAAGTAGCCGGTGAAGTAGTCAGAGAACTGAGGAGATAAAAAATGCCAGCTCCATTAGGAAAAGCCTTCTGAGCTGGTTGCTAGTGACTCCCCCAGAGAACCTACCCTGACGATGAGAATCCATTTGATGAGGGAGAGGCCGAAGCCGCAGATGGCTCCATAGCGCCCGGCGATGGTGTTGGTCAGACAGAAGGACAGACAGAAGCCGATCCAGTTGAACAGGAAGGCCACTGGAGGGGCAAACACACACACATTTAGTTCCCTCTGTCCCAATAAACTAACACTTTCATGTTTGATGTTTAAAAAAAAAAAAAAAAAAGGTGGGCCAGGCTCCAGAATGGGACGAAATAGTCCTGACTTTAACATCATCTGGGACAAAGCTTAGAGTCTTTAGTTTCAGACCCTCTTTCTTCAAAGGACACATTTTCCAACATGAAACACTCATTAGCTGGAGAACACAAGTACAAGAGGACAATTGGGGCATTTTAAAGCCACAAATAAACACACCAAATAATCAGGCAGCTCAATTTGATAATAAACTGAAACTGGAAACACCCAAATCCAGCTAAAATTTGAATGAGAGCGTGAGGATTAAGCAACATTTGGTTCTCTGCAGAGTTTTTAAATTAGGCCACATGAAGGCTTTGATCGAGAAGACTCAACCAGGGATAAATAAAAGAGAACTGGAGAGAGATTACAAACACCTGAGTCACGGCTTAGAGATAACAGCACACAGATACCACAGAGCAAAGAAAGGAAATCATCATGTAGAAGATCCAAAGCAAATGAACATCTGAAACTACAGTTCAGTGTCAGTGGGCTGACCGGAGAGTCGAATCAATAACACTCTGAGGAGGAATATAAAAATACCAAGCAGCTGGATACAGAATAACAGGAAAAACTGATTCAGATGGAAAATCCCACACCTGTGTTTGTACAGTTTTGTCATGCTAGCACATCTAAGAGCTGATTTTGGTTTCAAAACACAGACTAAAGAAAAGCCACGCTGACATTCCCCTGCTAAACCCATCTACTTATTCCTGGTCATTTCACACCTGAGACTAAAGCCACACTTTCAGGGCAATAAAAAAAGTCAAAGCACGTATGCACAGTCCTGCCTTTATGTCAGTAAAATCCCCATTTATGGAAGGATCCTAAAGTCAGGCAGATGTGCAACAGCTGTCAGAACGAGAGATCTGTTGTGAGTAAAGCCGCTGCCACCAAACAATCTTTTATTACGCTCTCCCTCCTCAAGCTGAGCGTGCAGAAATGAGTCATGGAAATCCTTTCGAACTGGAACCTTCTTTGGAAACGTGGGCTCCATCTGTGCTGAATTTAGATGATTTAAAGCGCCAGAAGTTTTGCTTCTGCACATTTCTTTGGTAGATGGTAAGTTAAGACTTCACTGGCAAGTTTGCCTTTAGCATATAAAATATATGAAAGGGTTGTGGTGGACTGAAGTGCTGGGGAAAGCTGGACTGTGTTCCCGGCTGAGGGCTGGGGTTGCATCACACTCCTGGTCAAACAAACCAGGCAGCTTCTGACAGCAGATCGATAGATTTTGGGGCTCAAATGAGACTTACTGAAGAAGGCCAACATGAAGATTCCATCATTCCCAACTCGGAGCTGGTCGGCGTCACTGAAATCATCTCTGGGAGGGAAGTCATCGTCCTGAGGAGGACCAGCAGAACAGACATGAGGATAGTTTAAAAGGGCCACATTGAAACTGATCAGATTCATCTGAAATGAAACCAGCAGCAGCCTCTCACCCGGGGCAGCACCTCCACCCCGGAGACAGCCATGGCGGCGGCCTTGGCCTTCTCGGCCTCGTCATACGTGGGGAGCGAGGTGGCGACGCTGTAGGGTGGAGGCACTGGAAAGTCGCCTTGGAAACTGGTCTCTGTGGAAACGAGGCTTGGTTACAGAGAGCGGAGGGGAAACCACACGCTGGCTCTGAGTGAGGCGCAGTCAGAACCAGCGTGACTCACCAACACGCCGCTATTTCTGCTGTTAGTCTGAAGGAGAGGGTTCAGGGAGGCCAAACGCAGATCTTACCAGGAGCGGCGGCGGCGGCGCCCCCCAGGTCGATGGAGGCGTAGGGAGGGGGCGGGGCCTCCGACTCCCCCCCGGCCCCCGAGCCTGACGCCTCCCCTGGTGCCGGGGCCTGGCTGGCCTGGGCCTGGTTCTGGTCCGGCCTGAAGGCTGCGGCCTGGGCGGCAGCAGAGGTGCTCGGCTGCTCCTCGCTGCCGGCGGCCTCCGAGGAGTCGTCCTCGTTGTGAAACTGAAAGAGATCAAAAGCCTTTTAAAAGTGTTCACCAAAACATGTGGGCATGCCCCACTGTGCCACCAACACACACTCAGCAGCAGCCACCGCCTTTGGGCTCCTCTAAAAGGCAGGAGCACTTCTGCTTTTACTTTTATTTCAGATTATTTCAAAATGAGTTTATGAGGACGACTTGTGAGAACATAAGCAACAAGGTGATTCCCAAAAAGCTGAAAACTTGACAAATCCTAGCACGGTACACCGTGTGGCCTGAAACATTTAAGGAAACTGGATAATTAGAGGACAAAAGAGGGAGTGTTTGGCCTAAAAAACTATTTACGGCAGACAAAGAGGACCTGAAAGTGATGAAGGGGAAATCACACCAAATATTGACTTTGCTCTATAGAAACTGTGTTTCTGTCCATGTTAAATGAAGAAATCCCCAAAACAATAAGGAGCAAAAGGAGACTTTCAGCATGACGGAGTAATAGGAAAGGCTGGTTCCTAAAAGGTATGTGTGGGAGGGAAATTAGAGGCTGTGTTTGTCTGCTGTGAGCAGCACCGTTTGCCCTCAGCAGAATGTTTGGCTACGTGGGTATGTGTCTGGAAAAACGATCCACACACATGTAATCAGGGAAAGAGGGTCCTCGCCATATCCATGAGAGCCATCCACAGACTTAAGTAGATTAATTTTTGTCAGAGGGGAGCGCCAAACGCCTTCTGAAATTACAGAGGGGTGATGGGGACATGACAGCCACAGAGGGGCTGGAAGGGCAAAGAAAAAGAGCGGCTCCTGCTCACCGTTAGAGGAAACGGCTCTAAACTCACAACACTGACACAAATAGTGTTCATACAGGAAATTGAACCCAAATAATGCTCCACTTTTTCACACATGATTGTGGTGTCATGGTTCAGTAACACCCAAAAAACACCATCAACAGAATTAGTAGTTAAAAAGTAGCTGATAAAGCCTAATATAAATCGTAAATTCACTAGGAGGGCAAAGTCCTGCGCTGAGACTATGATCCTAAACCAAATGGAACCATTTCTTTTTTGCCTCTTATGCTAAATCATTTTGAGACACACAGAATGGAGAAAACACACCTCCACCTCGGTTCTTTTCTTGCTGGCAGAATGAAAAACATCAAGGCGGTTTAACAAGTTCGGCTTGTTCGTAAAGCAAATTCCTGCGCTGTCTTTGAACCATTGAGTTTGTGTGATGATTCAAATGTGTCGGCACTTTAAATCGACTGAATTAAATAATAATATTTACTATGATGCCTTTAAATCGATCCTCAGACTTTCTCAATGTTGTACTGAGAACCTTCTGTCCCTTGTTAAACAATAGAGGGAAAACACCCCCGTTTCTCAAAATTATTACAAGGAGAGAAGTAAAGAAGTGGGTGACAACTGGATCTGATTCAAGGACAAAGCAGAGGGGGTTACATAAGATATTAAAAACATAGCCACAAGCCTCCTCGTGTGTCCAAATATACTCTAAACTCGTGCAGGCCATCAAAACAAAAGCAGAAATCTGAGTAATATTTGCAGAAAAAGCAAAGTAATAAAAAGATGTGACGTGGAAATGACCCACAAACCACAGCTTCACAGTTTTGTGTGAGTGTGCTGATCCAAGAAACTCCAAAAAACACATATCAACTCATCCTGTATTATTCTTGGTGTTTGGAGTGTTATTGCAACCTTTGCTTTGCTCAAACTTGAAGCAGTCTTGAATCATAACACAGACTTGCTTTGGCACACACTGAATCCAGCGGGATTGTTAGTCAAAACCACATCCACAGGCATCCGAGCACAAAGTGGCCTTTATCTTGCTACGATTAGATGTGATTTCAAAACATCTCAGCCACTTTTGTGACTGTAAAAGTTATGTTTGAAAGCATCTAAACTTCTAAAACATTAAATAAACACATATGGGGAAGATTTTAATAATATTTTTTAATCTTTTTAACCTCACTGTGAATGCAAACTCGTTTGGGAATAACTAGCAAATCCTAGCCTTGTAGTTCTTTAAAAAAAGACAATTAACTAGTTGTGCTCTCCTAAAATTGGCCAGCTCACTTCTTAATCAAGCCTATCCAATAATATAAATAATAACCTTATACTAAAGCTTCAGTTGAGTGCAATTTATGTTAGGAAGCTATGTTGTTATACCTTCATAGAGTAAAAGTGTGTATAAATCAGACAAAAATTAACAAATAAGTTCAACTTCAAAGGCCTATGGGACTAATCCTGGCAAGACAGGCTAACGTTAGCTTGTGAGAAGCTAATTCATCAAACAAAGACTTTGAAGGAAAATAGCAGGAAAATAAAGCCAATAACAATGTTCTTATAGGGTTAAATATGACCGTACTGTGGACGTGGTGTGGTTAATACAACATTAATAGAGCTGCTTGGTTGTTTCAAAGGAAGGCCACGTTTGCTGTGGCGGACGGGCCGTGTTTTGATGCCCGTTGGTCGGTCTGAACTCACCACTTGGTATCGGCTTGCTGGGTCCATCCCGACGAGACGCAGCCGGCGAAAAAGCCAGCCGAAAAACGGAGAAAAATTAAGGAAAACCTGACGACTGCTTACACCAAAAGTTTTGAGACGCGTAGGAGCGACTCCCCACTGACAAAAGGAGTCAAAGCAATGAAAGAAATGGCTGAAACGTCGGTGCGCTCGCCCAGAAAAACACTGTTGGCACCGTAACGTTTGCCAACGGTTAAGCGACCATTAAAGATGGCGCCCATCCGGTCCGCATTTCAAATCAAGACGAGATTTACACCATGATCCTCTCCAGACCTTTAATTAACCGGCTAAATCAGCATTTTGTGTCTAAAAAACATTGTGTTCCTGTAAACTCCTCAAAGCTACACGTCTGTGAGCAGAAATAACTCCACTCTCTGTCCCACACATAAATAAGTCCTGGAAATGGAGAACTGATGACGTCATACTTTAGTAGTACTTGGTAACAGTAAATTACTGCAGACTTGGTAAGATGTAGTCGTTACTGATCATAAAATGGACACATTTAGCCCCAAATCCTTTCCCTCTGGGTCATTCCACTGAGACCAATGGGGATAAACAAGCCTGCATTTAGTCATCTTCATCAGTTCAAAACACCTCGAAAGCTATTCAAGAAAAGTTAAAATAAATGTAAGCACTCTATCTAATTTGTTACAGACTCTGAACCTACACAAGTTGAATGACTTAGTTGTGTTTATTCTGCAAATATATATAATGTTTCGGTTATCCATCAATTTTTCATGTATTTTTATTATATAAGCCAACCACAACATTTAATTACTTTGTGTCCTATTTGAATCGTTTTATTTCATTTTACTGCTCAATTTGGCTTTTAAAGGCCCACTCTGGGACAGAGAAAGCGTTTTAATTCTGAGTGTTTTCTTTTGAAGGCAGATAACCCTCGTTTCCGAGTCAATTGTGCCTCCTGTGAATTTTACAGTGGTGGTTGATGACGTAAGTAAAGCTGATAAGTGGATTCCTTTCCACCAGCAGAGGGCGCCAGAGCCTTTAGTCACCCCCCAACCACCGGGACCACTGTCCATGATGTCCCCCACCACTAAAAACACCCAGAAATACTTCATAATATAGAGTTCAGCTTTCAGTGAAGATTTCCAGCATAGGCATGAACCTAAACCAGATTTTGCTCATAAATTCTGGCACTGACAGCACAGGACATATAAAAGGAAAGAAAAAACTGGACAGTTAATTGCATATAGGTACTTAATTAACCTTCCAATTATCAGTTTATATCATTGAAGTTATGAGCCAGCACAAACGCCTTCGGAGGTCCATTTATCAAATCAAAGTCCTCTCATCATTCCATCTGATTCTGGACTCTTTCTTGGCATTAAGAGGACTGTGTGGGTCCTACAGAGCAGCCCTGTCCCGGTTGATCAGGCTGACTTTAACAATTACACAGCCATGCTAAAAATGTGCGTTTGTAAGCAGGTCTGTGTCTTTAACTCGGTCTGAAGTTTACTCGTCATGTGTTCTTGCCTCTGGGATAATCCTGGATCAGCATTGCAGTGGATCAGAGCATAATAGGACCTTTATGAGCACAAATGTAGGAGTTCACATAGAGCACAAAGAGGTTCACAGCCACAGCGGCTTGACTTTACAGGCTGTTTCAGCCAGACAGCCCCTTCACAGAAACACAAGCCCTGCATGAAGGACACACTGAATGCTCTTCATCACATTCATCACATACTTATCTTTTCTAACCCCACTGAGTCACACTGCTGCACTGCTGACAAATTCTCTGCCTAAAACAGACCCTTTCTGACTAAAGCCGGCTCCTATCTGCCCCATCCATCGCATTAATGCACCTTCCCCGGCTCCCGTCTGTCAAACGCCGGCTGCAGACGCCCCAAACTCAGCGAACAATGATTGCACAGTGAGGTATTGATAAAAGGCTCTTCTTGAATTAAATTTTAATCCCATTCGCTAAGAAGGGGATTACTGTAGTACATGTATCAGTTAAGCAGCTAAAGCTGAGAGGGACGGGCTTGGAGGAAGGGAAACGGGAGAAAAATGTGGAAAACAGTGGCAGTGTGGTGCATTACGGAGCGTTCTGACCTGCACACAGCAGCAGGGATTAGAAGCATTAAGGATTACAAGTTTACATCTGAACCGGGGTGAAAACCACTCACAGCCATTTGCCCAGATGCTGCTGGAACCCCACTTTCACAGCCAATAACGGCACCTCAGGACATCCATCACCGGCTCCACAGGCACACCCGCCACACAATCCAGATGCTGTTACTTGGCAACGTCATTCCAAGGTAAATAGGTGCTATAAAAAGGTGTTATATAAAGGAACAGTGGGTGTCTCTGTGAGAGGCAGTCGTCCTCACGCTGGCACAGACGCTTCCTGACTGGAGGTGAGTGCTTTATCCAGGCTGATGGAGTCATGCTCAACAAAGCAGCAGCTGCAGTTTAACCCCTCCTATTCTGCAATCTGGGCCTAAAACAGCCACGAAAAGTGTCGTTATGGTAAATGTAATCAGCTTTTTTAACCATTTGGAATAGAGGACAGAACACATATAGAACACTGGAAACACCTCAGCCTCCTCCTATCAGCAGATTTAGCTAAAAATCACAAAAACAGGGAAACCTGCTGGTGGACTACCTCAATCTAGATGCCCTAAAAAAGACTAAGAGCATACTTACCAAGCTGCAAAAGCAGCTTTTTGTTAATGACTCCAAGTGAGTGAAAACATTCATTTGTCTCCATTTGGCATTTGAAAGCTGATCCAGGAATCTCAAACTAAACCATATCAACAGTTTGGCACCAACACACAATAATAAAGGAATTATTACTGTATCTCAGTGATAGAGAGGCAATCGGTACATTTTTGTCGATATTCCCTCATATTGATTCTTTTGTGATGACACGCTGAGTGAAAGCCCCGAAAAGCCCCCCCCGACAGGAGCTGAATAAAAGCTCTGGGACAGGAAGGTGCAAACAGGCAGAAAGTCCTGTCCATGAAATTGGCCCCTGCACGGTGCAAATGCAAACACGGCGTAATTAAACGTACAATTACCAAGTCTGTGTCTCTATCGACGCAAGCTAAATAAAAAGTCTTCTAAAGAGAGACACAAGCAGCCTCTAATTAGTGAAATGTGAAAACTCGGAGCATTAATCATATACACACACCCCTCACTGTCTGCTGATGAGTGTGTGGGTGTGCAGTTTAGAGAGGAGGGAGGGGGAGGGAGGGGGGGGGGAGGGAGGGAGGGGGGGGGGCGGAAGTGGGTGGCCTCCCCAGCAGAGAGCAGTAAAGCCGAGGTTTTGCAGCCTGATAAGAGGCGGCTCTTTGTTCCATTTCAGCTGGTTTATGAGTCTGAGGGGAGCCCAACACTCAGGGCTGTACAACAGCAAACGTCCACAAACATGGAGGAGAGGCAGATCTGTTCACCTTCGGTTGGCATTTTGAGCAAAAACCCTCCAATGGTCCTCCAATCAGCCCCTCTGACGAACACAGGAGGGCCGCTGTCACCTGGAGAGAGGCTGAGGACCTCACAGGATACAGCCAGGACAGAATAATGAGCAACACGATGCTCATCTGAAAACAGGAAGAAAAGGACATCTCACTTCTAGTTTTCTGTGGGATGAGTTACATCCCTTTTTCAGACTACTAAATAACATCTCTGAACACTTGTGGCTGACCCCGTTTCAGCACCGAACAGCCGAAATCCTGCAGACAGCATTCATTCTCAGGGTATGACAGCTGCAAAACATCTCACCATCTCCAAACTAAACAGAATTAGCAAAAGAGGGCACCAAGACAAAAACACGCAGTGTGAATTACCCAAGTTTTTGGCTTTAAAGGAGGAACAATAAGTGTGTGTGGAAGATATTTCTGACTGTTGCTAAGTTTTCTATTATCTGTAAGTCAAAATATTTAAATTCATTCACTTTTGTTATGAGATAATTAGCATTAGCTAATTATTTTTAAAGCTTTTGATTGGCCTGCAGAAATAAACCCACACAAAAAAATAATGCAAACTTTAACTTTCTGTCTGATTGAAAAGCCAAATGTTAGCAGGTTTTTAACCAGAACAGAAAGCATCTGTTTTTTCTTCTTTATACAGTTTTAAGACTCACTGATCGGAGATGAAACTAATGGTAAAAAAAAGAATGTTTCAGTCACATCATCGACCATTTTGAATCACCAGGACTACCATTTTTTGTCATCAGATCTTTTCAAATAATCCCTAAAAGGCAGCTTCTACTCTTACAAGTGATGTTTGGGTCAATTAGCTCCACGACTAGAGATGCTGCGATGCCGTCATGTTCAATTAAAGCCGACATTAGTCAGGCCTGCATAGTGCCACCGCAGAACCTTCCTCCCACTTTGACAAAGCAAATCAGCATTAGGATAATCGTGATCCGAGCCGGTCGGGGTTCTCTTTAATCCATCTCTTAAGAGCCTGTTTTGGGCTTTTTTTTCTTAACGATCACTGCAGAGAGGAGATGGGACTCCAGATAGCAGCGGCCTGTTTCTGGGTCACGTACAACAGGACGGGTTGCTCTCTTGGGGAACAGCTCCTTAAATGTTTAATGACTGAGGGACAGACACTGGTGTCTTCAAGAAAAGTTGATCCTCCAGGGACTGGTGGAGGAGTGTTGGATGAGAGGTGGAGGAGTGTTGGAGGAAAGGTTGGTGACCAACTACCGGACGGCTGAGGGGTCTGGGTCCTGGTCTGGGCGCTAAAAGCAGCTAGCAGCTAAAGCAGGAGGATCAGAGATAATGAGCGCTAGCTGCACGAGGCCCCGCGCTGCAGAAGTAGGCTAACAGGCTGCAGCTCAGAGAGGCAGCATCAAAAAGCACGAGGCCTCAGAATTCCCCCCAGTCTGTCAGACGGGCGTTTGATGCTGGAACAGAGTTTCTTTCTCTCTCCAGCCGGCCCTCCTCCTCCTCCTCCTCCTCCCGCTCTTCCCACGCTGCCTCCATCTCTCTCCCCGCCGCCGCCGCGCCACGGAAACCGTGTCAGCGCAAAGAGAAACACATCAGAGGGAATTCATTCAGGGAGCTGCTTTCTCAGCCAGAGGAGCAGGGCTACCAGGGCTAATAGGGCCAGGAGGGCTAGCAGGACTAGCAGGGCTAGCAGAGCTAGCAGGACTAGCAGGACTAGTAGGACTAGCATGGCTACCAGGGCTACCAGGACTATCAGGGCTAGCAGGGACTAGCAGCAC